GATCGATGAGACTCATCTTGAAATTTTGGAGTGCAATCCTCCAAGGTTCACGACACAGCTTCCATGCCCGGGGAACCCGTGGTCGACTTCATCTTCGCAGGAGACAGTTCCATGGCACTTGTGGACGAGGGTCTATATGCCGACGGAACGGTCAAGCGCACGAAGAGGAATGTCGGCGAGTTCCTGAAGGCAGGGAGGATGGACCTTTTGACCGAAAAAGCTGGATCTGCCAAATATTCCATGCATTGGGGCAGAGGGTTGAAAGACATCACCGATGGCATTGAAGCATGCCTGGACAATAAACTTCGTCGCACACCGGGAGGTGTTGCCCCTGCCGTGATTGTTGTCAGTTATGCTGGCAACGATGTTTACGGAAATTATGGGTACGTAGGCAACCCATGGGTAGACACCCAAGTCCTTCATAGGAACCCGGCAAAACAGCAAGCCGCCTATGCTTGGCAAGCTCAGCTCGCGGAGAGTCATACCCAACAGATGCGGCGCCTCGCCGATCTAAGGCAGCGCAAGGATGTGGCAGCTCTCATCGTGATCTGCTACTGTGACGGGCAGTCCTACGGCTTGCCGGAGGACTTCACTCGCCAGATGATCCTTGTATCTGAAGCTTTCAAGAAGATGGGTGTGATCACCGTGGCTGGCACTACACTTGTGCGATCGTGCGCCAGGTACGACAGTTTTCACTGCCTGAATACAGATGCCAACCGTGACCTGTTTGTCCGCTACTATGCCTCTGTCGCCTTGTTCGCGTACTACTACTGGGTTTTGGCCGGTGTAGACATCCTCCGCAAAGACGCAAATCTTTTTGCCAAACAGAGAGGAAACAAGACGCGCAAGGCATTGATGAGGGAGCGGGTGTGGAACAAACGGTTCGAAGAAGGCTACCTGTGTCTTGGTGACTGGTACGAGCCATACCCGGGAGAGATTCGCCAGCATGCCATCACAGGCACTGGCAAGAAAGTCGCGCTGACTGAGTTTGAAGAGATTGCGATCCTCGACGACTGGGGCGAGTGGGAAGACGCCGCCCAGGAGGAGATCGAAGCCGCCCGGAAGTTGCCATTCAACGTGAGGGCGTATCAGCAGCGGGGGACCGCGGGCCAATGGTTGATTCCAACTGAAGCGGATTGGGGTGCGCCTCAAGCATCGCCCAAACCCAAGGAGGATGACAAGATGGAAGTGCATGAACCTAAGGTCATCGAGATCGATGAGACCTTTGACCCGTCTACTACCACGCCTCCGGGGACGGACGGCCGCGATCAGAACAATCAGGCTCCAGCCTCTGCAGCTGGTATGGAATTTGTCACTGCGAATGTGCCCATTCCGGCCGATGGTGACAAAGATGTCGTGCCACCAGAGCCCACCGAGGAAGACGAACTTCTGGTGATGAATGATCCTCTTGATGATGAGGAGCAAATCTTGGAGTTACTCGAGCCGCACATCGCTGCTGCGGAACTTCACGGACATGAGAATGTCGACCAGCCGGATGACGATGAGGACTCAATGAGGACCCCGACGAAGAGATCCTGTTTGACAAACCTATCCTCACGCACCTGCCTGATTCAATGCGTGATGAAGGCTTCAAGGTGCAAGGGGTATTGTATCAGCTGCGCCTCAACCCTGAAGAGCCCGACATCGTCCGAATCTACACTGATGAGGATGCGATCCCAGAGCTCGAAGGTGAGGCCCTCAGGAAATTCAAGCAAGTTACCGAATTCCGTGGAGGAGCTGATCCAGGTGCAAAGGAGAAGAAGGGGACCAAGATTCGTTCAGCTGATGGCCCACCAGCCAAGAGAAAGGTTGAAGAACCATCGCAAGAGCCCAAGCCCAAGGCATCCAAGAAGTCCTCAGAAGAGACTGCATCGTCGTCGGACGCACGCCCGGCGGGAGCCGAGGCCGTTGCTGTTGAGAAACCTGCACCGAAGCCTCAGCCAAAACCGAAGGAACGCCCGGCGGGAGCCGTGGCCGATCAAACTACTCCTGCCACGGAGAAACCTGCAGTCCAGCCCAAGATGATGCCTAAGGTACAGCCGAAGGCACCACCTATGCCAAAAGGGGCCACTTCACCGCTTTCCGAGAAGGTGGTGGCACTACAGTCCAGGGCCGTGCCCGGAGCCTCCAAATTGGAACACCTCAAGTGTGGCTGTCCCGCCGAATTTCTGGTTTGCTACGAGGATGGGAACACACCAACAAGCGGAATCGCATCCCACCGCCGGCATTCCAGAAGGGTCTTTGGATGGAGTTCAACCATGTCTACATGTACATCAAAAAGAAGTACATGCAGTCGTTGACCATCGATGACATGCTGGTTGTCCTTACGAGCAACCACAGGTTCATGATGGAAATCAAGGTGGCGCCGAAGGGGACTTTGGTCGGGGGAAAAAGACAATACACGCCACTTCGCCTCAAAGCCATCCAGCACCACAACGACTGGTCCTACCAGAACGTGGAAGAGGCACTGCCGGAGCATGAGCGCTTTATTGTGCTTGATCCGGAGTATGGCGTTGCCGAGTACAACAGCGGCAAGTTCCCTCGTGTGCCAGTGAATGCCCATGGACGTGTTGAGGACATTCAGCCGACCATCCTCTATCACTACACCCATCATGCTTCCATCCAGGGCATCATCAACATGGGATTGATTCCTGGGGGCAACAGGACCGGAGATATGTACACGTTTCTTACCAAGGAGGACCCATGGAGCATCAGCGCGACTGACTATGCAGCTATGGCATCAACTCGGCCCGTCTGCATTGCTCTTGACTTGCATATGATGGCAGTCCATGGACATCGCCTCGTGGAAACGACGGCCGGTACTTTGCCCTGATTGGATCTCGTGTCGCTATGTCATGTTTGTGTATGACATGTCCAATACGTGTTACTTGTATGCCAACCACGTGTATGCCCATTACCGTGCAATCTTCCAGGGGAAGAAGAAGGCATTCCACGAAGCACGCAGCGGGGGACCGCTTGCCGGAGATGAAGAGTTGATCACATCGAGGTTGGAATCTTCCACCAAAGACGTCCTCGATGACTATGATCGATGGTGTGGCAAGGTGACCACATTTCATCCTTTTATCTTCGGCAGTCAGTACCTGGTTGCGGGTGTCAAGGATCAGACGAAGGCTGGAAAGAATCTGCCAGATCTCAAGGTGCTTGAGACAATGTTTGTCACTCGGCGGCCAAATTTCCGGGCAAATCGCAATAGCATCAGCCCCACGGACATGCTGCCGAACTGCAACCGGCCAAGATTTGACTTTCGAGCCTGCGATCCAGCGAAAGAGGGCTATGGCAAGACACAATGGCTTGTTGTGGAGGGGATTCAAATGCCTGAAGGGCACTGCCCTACTTGTGAACTCCACTTCACTTTTGGCTCGATGTGTTAGTGCGGCACCTTCCTGAATACCGCGTCGGACCTTTGCAAGGCCGCCCAGGTCATCCGAATGGAGGAAATCGCCTCTGAGTTGGGCGTTGAACTCTCACTCGACATGGTCCAGGAAGATCGGCTGCAGGGAACCGGCATTCGCAACGCGCCTGCGGGGACGCATGGCCATGATCCACGAGCTGCACGGTCAGGTATCAACATCCTGAAGTCAAATGCTCGAAGCCATGTGAACAAAGCAGACAAGATGGGCGTGACCATCTCGCAAAGGCAATTGACAGATCCTCTGTATGCCTTCAACTGTGCGGCGCAAGATCTGTCACCACTTTGCATCAGCTTCTTGGAGAAATTGGCGAACGCGGTCATCCCGGACCCACCAAGAACGCACCAGATGATCATGCAGGGTGTCGGCCATCGTTATGCTGGGAAGTTGATTTACATCAACGATCCTGAGAAGGTGGGAGAGGCGGACATGAGCGAGGACTTCCTGGTGTATTGGAAGAATAGGCTCTACCGCCCTGAAGTCTTTGCAGCAAGTTATGCTCAGAATGCAAAGCGCCCGCCAATATTGGGATTCCACTCTGAGTGGAAGACTGATGAAAAGGATCCAGATGAGCTTCTCCAGCTTCTGCTCGACTTCATCGCAGAGGATATCGCCTTCATTCCGAATGTTGACTTGCAGCTTGGCAAGGAGACTAGGACCATGGTGGTTCCTCGAGCGAAAGCAGACTCCGCATCAGCTAAAGCCCTGGCGAGGGCAGCCCAGGATCAGGCACGAGCTCACGAAGATTGGCACCAGTCTCAATGGTCATCCTCTTCCTCATCATGGAATCGCGGCGGAGACTGGAACCAAGGATGGTGGCAGAATCGCTCAAGCCAATGGCAGCGTGACGATCGCTGGAACCGTGACTGGTGGAGCTCACGCAACTGGTAGGAATCTTCGCACGACGGGAGTCGTTGCCTTTGGATTTAAAAGTTCTTCCTCCATCGCACCGCGGGAGCGGTTGCCCTTGATGATCGCTTCTGTGTTGCACCGGGGGACCGGATGCCGAACTTTCGCTTTTGCGCCAGCAAGATTTAATTCGAATGTTGAAGGTCGAAGTACCTGTCACATTGCAAGGCCAAGAGACGCACATACTTTTGTAGTGCTGATTCGCCACGCGGGAGCGTGTGCCGACCGGTGATACTCCTGCTTTCTGAAAGGCCAATCGTGCACTTACCGCCAATGCGTCAAAAGATCGTGCTGTTTCTTCTTGAGCGGACTCCATTAAGTGTAAAGCTTTGCAGTATGAGTGAACACTAGCATCAACATGTCAGTGACTTTCTGCCGTTGAGGTCAACTATCCTCTCCATCTCAAAGGCAGGAACCGGTTTCGTTCGCATCGCACGTACCGGGGGACCGGTTGCCATCGTAGGTCCCGAATTCACTGTACATGGTCTTCACTCCTCCCCATTTTCGTTCAGCGGGGGGTGTTGTTTCACGCTAGTGTAGTGTATTCTACGTCTCACTCGTGCTACTTTGGCTCAAGGCAAAACAGGTGCGATTAGTGGTGCTAGTCGGCTACTCACTTGTAACTACACATGAAAGATGCGGCGTTGGCGTTACAAACAGGAGCTGTGTCGCACCAAAAGCTGCCCAGCCCTGCTCAACTACAAAAAAGTGGAGATACTTCTCTGCAAAGATGTGGGGGACGGGGTCGATGGTGACAACGTAAAGAAAGCCGTCGGACTTATTGGGCCTGCCCCCACCCAGGCACCACCTTGACATTGAGGATGCCAAGACCTGGGATCCTTGGACGCGACGGGCATGCTCGAAACCGCTTTGTTAGACTTGCTGTTTTGGCCAAATCGTAGGAACAGTTGGTCGTCCATGAAAAACATTTTGATTTGCGATGTGCGCTCATGCACAGCTCCGCCATGGACATGGTCGTTGAGGTTGCCTGTGGGACATAGGGGGTCATTGATTCACCATCGATGGCGCGTGCTGTGGCGGGTGTAATGAGGCGAGGCTGACCACTGGAAGCACCCAGTGCCCAGAAGACACAGACACTTGGCAAGCAAGGCAGAGTGGGGCTTTGGCACAGGGTAGGTCAATTCCTGTGGCCAGTTGGCCATAGTCATAGGCGGGGTTTGAAATAAACGGAGGGCCCTGGAATCGATGCAGAGCAGCCAAGGTGGGAGAGCAGCATTTGTCAGAATCCGATGGTGAGGGAGGGGACGCTGACTGGCAGTGGAGCTGGCTTGTTTTGGTGTGGTCATTGCCTGGCTTCAAATTGTACAGGGCATAGGGCATGGAAGCATAATACAACATCCAATATGTGGAACCTTTGAACCTGTCCAGGTCAGTTTCAACAGTCATGATCAAAAACATCCCTTGCCGTTGCACGACGGAAGAGGCCGGAGAGGGAGGCGGTCCCTGAAAATCGGCGCCTACAAGTGCTCGACATGGTATGGCCCCAGTTCATTATATGCAATAGTCACTTCCCAAGCACATCTCCAATCCTTTAGAGTCTTCAAACATCTCTCCCGGGTGTCTAGCAGGGTTCGGCACCGTTCTTTTCTGCTTGGCCTGCTCTGAAAAGACAGCCGGCCCGAGCCGCAGTGGAAGGTCCTCGCCGCAGTGGACCGTTTGGGCTTCGCAGGTGCCTACGACGCTGGGCCCAGGGAGAGAAATTAAAGAATAACATGGCAAAGACCACCTCTTAACCTGTAGATGCGAGTGGCCTTTGAATAGTAGTTACGGAGCAGATTGGTTTCAATTGCGAAATTTACCGATTTTATCCATAACAACACTTTAGAACCCCTGCGGCTCTAGCAAGATAAATGCATGTATATAGTCACATAGTCTATTGTTCAATCACACAAACACACATTCTGGGAAACACACTTGCAAAACCATCCACAATACCTGCCTGTCACCTGCTGAGGACTTCTTTTACCTCCCGATCAACCGTCGACATCGACAGGGGATTGGCTATGCCTTCATCAATTTTCCGCAGCAAGGCGCCGCCGGTCTCTTCAAGAAGGCCCTGTTCGGTGGACGGCTGGAGGTGCTAGGATGGATGGGCAGGATCTGGGCAAGTGACTTCAGAAGGGCTGGGTGCTTTGGAGTGTTCTTTTCTAGATCAGGCATTGGTTGTTTCCAGCTGTGTCCGCATCGCCCATGGCGCTCCCTGCGCTCCCCTCATCCGTGGGCACGAGTCGTTTGCCGTGGTGTTTCGGGGTGAGCGACGGGCGTCGTCTAGCGAGGCGATTGCTGGCTACCAGTTCCCCGGACGTAAGAGTCAGAAGGTAGTGCACGTGGCGAAGGCCCAGCTCCAAGGACGCCAGGAGGCCAGAGCTGAACCAACGAGTCGGGCGGCCCTTGTTTTGGGAGTGCGGGAGTTTGAGGTCTTCAGCGTACTGCACCCCAAAGATGGGGGGGCTTTGGTTGGGAGGTTCCAAGAATTTTATCGCCAGGTAGGCCAGGTAGACTCTTGATCGATAAAACCCTTAGGACCTTACGAGGATTGGACAAAATCTATGGTTTGGGTCGGCCTCCCTTGGTCGGTTCAGAAAGAAGAAGGGAGCCGACTCGGACCCTGACAATCCTCGAGAGGCTCCTTTGCCCAGAGATTTGATCCATCACTCACATGAAGAGGCTTTGTCATCCAAATGGGGCAGATGTTTCTTTTTTCTGTTTTTAAACTATTGACTGACAGCACAGATGCCTAGAGGGCACATGAACATGACGGGTTGGAACTGGCCGTGGGTCCACAGAAGCAGTGCAGGCCACTGAAATGTAGGAGTCTTCCAGCCTTTATGAAGAAGTCTTCCAACAGCTTCTTTTGAGGATATCACCAGTGTCGTGGCATTATGAGTCCTTCTGGCAGGTGTATTGAAGCTCCATCCGCATAGTTGCGTCGGTTTGCCCGGGTGGAAAAGATCCGACAGGCATGGTGAACTTCTAGGTTGATCGACTGGAGTCCACCATTTCGGTGATTGGTCTCTACAAATGGATGACTACCCTAGTTGGTTGCACTACACAGGGTCCCTACAAGGGCCCACCGGATCCTTAAGTCCACCTTGATTCGGGCCAGGTGGATGCTTACTTCCACCACACACAGGTGCTGCACACTCGCTATGGACCAGTGATGTCTTGAGTGCGCCGCGAAGTGCTGCGGGTTGTAGGGTTGAAAGCTGGTGACTGTGGCTCTTACTATGAAGGTCTGACCCAGGGTCTCTTATGAAGCCACTACCGTAGTATACCTGCTCGACCAATGACTCCACAGCTGGTTGGAGGTAGTTCGTAGTCCTTTTTGGTCGGTTTCGGATGGCCACCTCTCAATTTCAATCGCACTATATAAGTATAAGCACATTTTCATTGAAACTTGGCAGGACTGCCCGTTTCGAGCACGATCCCCATCGCTTGTCTCGTTTGCTCATCTACAACCCGTGGGGGTTTGAAGCAGCGTACTGGTTGGGCGTTGGGCAACGCTTGTGTATAAGAACGCAAGAACCGTACCCGTTGTGCTGACCTTGGCATGTTTGAAGTGGCCGAAACTGAGCTGTACAAGTGTTTTTTGCCGCTCAGCTAGGTCGCCAACCAAGGTCCAGCCCCTTCATGTTGCTGTCCAGCTGGAGCGTTCAGAGTCTGATGCTTCGGGCTCGTGGAAGAGCCAACTTCACCATCTCCTCGCCAAAATGGATCAAAGTGGTTTCTGGCAACTTGCTCTGGAAGCCGGTAACTAGACCTTGCGCCGAGGCCCGCCCAGCCTGGATCAGATCCTCCCCCAAATCTTGGGAGTTTTGATTGTTTTTGTGCATCTCTCTCTCTCTCTCTCTCCCTCCCTCTCTCTACATCATTGGTCCTCAACACTGCTCCAGCACCATTCCTTCCAATCCCAGCGGTTCTTTGTGTGGCTCTTGGGGCGGAACCATCCCGGCGAAGTGAACGCGTTAAAGGGTGGGCCCATCTCTAGGAGCCAGTCGCCAAACGGGGAATGTTTCATGGCATTTTGTACCACTTATTGTTGGTGGTTTTGTGTTGGTCCTCTACAGACTTGGGCGGAAATAGCTTTGCCCAATCTCCACTGAGACTGGTTTGGTCGGGTTTTTGGGGCTAGCCTGGTTAAGGCAAGCGATTTGTCATCCAAGCAACTCGTGCGCTTGAGCTGGACATACAGCGTGTGCTTTGGTATTTCAAGCAACGCTTTCAGCCTGATTGGCTGGGCGTTCAGCCGTTGCTTGGCCGTGCTTCGTCAGTGATGGATTTGACTTCTAAGATGTTTCATGTTGGGAATGAGCCTGCGCTCGTCACTCATACGTGATGGGTTGAAGTTCCCAAACTCCACCCGGGCCGTTTCAATGTTGGGCCCTCCTGTATAGAGATCCGACAGAGTTCGGCTGACGCATCCCCGAAGTTGGCACTGCCGACGCGGAGGCTTCCTCTAAGCCCAGGATCTTCGCGTTGGAGTCGAAGGTTCGGTGAAGACACCATACCTGGAGAGGCTGAGAGGGCACTGGCTCCAGGTAGATCCGATCTTCGACTCGAGCAGGACTTCTTTGTTGGGTTCCTTTTTGAAGCCAAGGGTTGCAACGAATCGGCTTCGCCCCAGCTTTTGGTGCGAAGGAGGAGCGGAAACACCTCGTTAGGGTCTCAAACGTGGAGCAGAGCTGTGAGCAAGTCAAATCGAACGAGGCGTTCTTGCGCTCTATATCCCTTGGCAGATAGGCCTTTGAACAAAAGGGCAATTCCTGCACCTGACGTTGGGATAAACAAGGTCAGCAGGAAGTTGCACACTGCTGGGGTATGATCAACTGGACTGTTTACCATCCGCAACACCGTTGACCAACTCCACGAAATTCGTTTCGGTTTCAAGCCATGTGAGTCGGCCCACCTCTAGGGGGGTGCGAAAAACGGTGTGACTGCAATGTGGGGAGATTTGGGCTACGGAAGGTACGACATTGGCCCGCCTCCAGTGATTTATTACCTGATGTGGTACTTGAAGCGGTACTTGTGTTGCCATGAGCATGGTTTTCTATCTCTCAACAACTTGGGTGACGGCAACCATGCGTTTTCGGCCGCAATGGGAGAGATGGAGCCCAATTGACAGCAGATATTTCTTCACTTGTTCCAAGGCAAAGCTTGGACATAAAACACCTACACACAGAATATAAGTATTAAATACATAGATACATAAATATATATATATGTATAAAATGCTCTATGAAAATGCTGGCCGCCCAGCATGCTGAGTGAGCTTTAGGGGGTAGTTCTTACCAAAGATACTGTCTTCTTTGGTCGCATGGCAGTCACATCTGGACTTTCAAGGAGATCTTGCACAGAAAGCCGCATTCAAAACATGTGATGCAGAAAACCTGTTTTTGTTCCTTTTGTCTCCTGAGGATGCCAGGGTTGCTTTTCAGTTCTGTGCAGCATTGAGTGCCGCATGCAGAATTCGACCGTGCAGTAGCGCACTGTGGCTTGAGGGGAGTTGAGCGGAGCGGCGGCGTAGAAATAGTGATGAAGAACTAGAGGTACTGAGCTCGTCCAGCCACTGCTCGCCGACCTCGAACCAACGCAGTGCTTCAGATCGGCTGCTCTGAGAGCGCTGAGGCAACACGCTGCACTCATCATTGAAGTTCCGAACACAAACAGCCCCTTTGCACCAGATTGAACACAATACAAAAGGATCCTTTTTTGGTTCAATGTGCTTGGTGAGTTCAATGTGGTGAGGAGTGTCGCGGTCGTGTCGCGGTCGCTTTTTGGTGGCCCAGGCCGAGCTGTGACTTTGTTGCGCCGCGTTGCCAAGTCCTCGGTTCTTGATATGCCCCCAAAGCCATGGAGGTCTATGTGTCCACACCAGGCTGTTTGGTCCGTGTCTTGCGGTAGAGATGGTGATGGATAGGGACGCAATATAGTACCACAATTCCCAATTCGCGTGTATCAACCTATTTCAGCCACCCCTGAATTGTGCTTGGCAGGAAGTACGGGTGTACTTGAGATCATATTCATATTCTTACAGTGTGTTTCTGATTTCAGAGGGGGCTGCAGAAGACAGCTTATTAGGCTTATTACCTCTTGGTATTTAGAGTGACTTAGCATATCGGCCACACAAATATGACAGCCTCTGTGGGCCTTGTGCTGGAGAAGCCTTCGGGGCCACTTGGCCCAAGGAACGGATCATCTGCGAGATGAGGGCGCGGATGGAAAATCAGGGACGTGACGGTGCCACATGGGCTTGGCTGAGGACTATATTGTATATACAAAAATGCATACAAGTGTGTGTATATATGTATATATAAATATACATCAACTGCCCAATTTATATGTATATATATATAAGTTAAAAGGTCAAGGCAGCCATTGTTGTTAACTCTGTTGCACTGCAGCTGCAGACTGTGGCACTGTCTTTTTGTCTGGCACCTGAGCCCAAGGGCCCTGAAGACTAGGTGTTGAAGGGCATGTTGCATCCTTACACGGCCTCTGCTACGTACTTGCTCAAACTCACATGGGCATGAACTCATGTGTCGAAGACACTCATTGATCTTCTGACCATTGCTCAGCTCAGCCCTGGATGATTTTCAATCTCTTTTGTCACCATCGTGTTGTGCTTGTGACTGTCATCAATTGTTGGGACCGTGAGGTCCACTGCTGACAAGATGCAAAGTTGGTCTTGGCTCTGGCTCTGGTGGCAATGCCAGTTGTGATGTTGATGGTCGGTAGATGAAGGCGGTTGGATTCTGGTCGGTATGCTGCCATGCTGGTAAAACAGGATGTTTGGTCGTTGCTCCACCAGTAGTCATCGTGAGTGTTGCTCTGAGTGTGGTTGCTCTTGCCTTGTCTCTGACATTTTGTAAACTGCCACTTGGCAGTCTCTTGCTAAGTGACCCGGTTTGCCACACCTGCAACTGTTGTGGGATGTTCTGCTTTGACCTTCATTGCTCCTTTGCCCTTTCCTTTGCTTCCTTTGTCTGCTCCTTTGGCGCTTGTTTGCCAGTGTTGTTTTCTTTCCCTTTTCCTTTGTTGTATGTGTTGTATGTGCCGTAGCCTTTTCTTGCTGATATCCTTTTTCTTTGTATCCTTTGCTGTTGGCGAACTTTCTGTTTCCTTTGCCCTTTCCTTTGTTGTACTCGCCTCCACCACAGCCGCCGCTGACAGCCCAAGATGTCTGTTGTTGCAACAGTCTAGTGAGTGCTGTGGTTGGTCCTGTAGTATTCCACGATCGTCGCTCGTATGTCGGCATATGTTGGTGTTGTTCCTGCGTTCAGGTGAAGGTGTTGTTGGAGAGGACTACCATTTTTGACCTGGTCTGGAAGCTGTTTTGTATTGTCACGTTCGTGCTTCGGCTCCTGTCAAAAAGGTCTAAATATATGTTGTCCAATAAGCCCATGTAGACTCGAATGGTATCCACCGGCCCACCACGGGGCAATCCATGTTCAACCGCAGCAATGGATCTCGAGGCCCCCATTTACCTTTTCCATGGCCCGTAGGGTGAAACATGTTGCGCTTGCGACCGCGTTGTTGCTTCTTTTGTTTGCTACCCGAGTTGGTAGAGGAGCCCTAAGTGCTCCAGGGCCCACCTTCGAATGCTTTAGTCGCCGTGATCTTCGAAAGCTTCGATTGGAAGGGTTCCACCAGGCCGCATCGGTGACGTGCAAAGTTCTTGACTGGATTGAGTTGTTCCTACATCCGCCAGTCGAGTTAAACTCACAGACCTCGAGCCCAATGCCATAGGACCGACAACAGCTGACTTTGACTTCAGGTGTGTGCGCCTTCCGCAAAGTGATATGTGTCCGCACTACTTGAAGATTTGGATTCAGCCGTTTAGTGGATTGTGTGAATGCCCAGCCCCCAACCTCTTGCATTCAGGTTCATTGATGCCTGCACGAGCACCTTTGTTCATTGATTGTCGTGGATCCTTGAACACTGCTGCGGTTGAGGACTTTCACACCAGATTTTTCTACGATACAAAGCCGGATTACGTTTGGGTGGACAGTTTTGACAGTTCTTGCAATTGCTACAGTCTTGACAAGGCTTGTATTTACGACATTGTTGGTGACGGCAGTTGCGATGGGACGAATGTTGAGCAGTATTTGGCAGGAGTTGAAGTTGGCACAGTTGAGCATTGTTCAGGCGATCAAGCTTGCATTGTTGAGCATTGTGCTGAAGGAGCACATGGTGCAAAGGCTTCAAAGCGGGCTGTACCGA